TAGCTGTGTTTTTGCATCAACTTGCACTTAAACAAGTTTGACGCGGAGAAAGAAATGAGTTCAAAATAGGTTTGTCTGAAACTGATTTTATTAATATAAAACTGCAATATTTTTAGCTAAGTTACTACATAAATATTGCTAAGGTGTTAAATTAATGGAGAAAGAGCACAAAGTAACCGGAACCAGAGCTCTAATAAGAGATCTCATCAAACACCCTTTTCACAAAAGTTTTGCAACAACATTCTTTTTTCTTCTTTTCTAAATTTATACAAATTCAGTCAAGTAAAGGAAGCCTTTCAAATGTTTACTTCCCTCCAAGAAGTCTACTGCCCTGCAGGAGTCTGCAATGCGATACGATAGATCAGTGCAAAGCACAATGCACATCTAGTGACTCACAAAGACAGGAACTTGTACAATGCGTATTTTCGGGTCAGGCCGCAGCCGCTGTTTTAGTGTAAAGTTTATATATTAGGCTTAAGAATATACTTAGTTAGACTTAGTTGGTCAAAAGCCGACTCTGTCTCGTCCGTTTGACTTCAACGGGCCCTTTTTACAGAGTTTTAGCTTCGAGGTTCAAAGTCAAGGTCGGGGCGATCTCACCCTCATCGATAACTTTAGCTTAGCAATGTCTAGCCGGGCCGCACTATCTGTACATTCATTAGGCTTCCAGCGGATCCTGCCTGAGACGCAACGACCAAACAACCCAGCAATCGATAGGCCGTCTAACTCTGTAACAGAGAGCTGCAATGATCACAATTTTTTCAATGGTACCTGATCATTGAACCGGACTTTTGTCCGAGCGAACATTCAGATCCAATCCTTTTTTCATGTTTCATAATGATTTTCAACCATCGAACGCTTTGTGTGAGCTGCAAAGAATAATTTAGAGCAGTGGTCGGCACCCCAATACATTGATTTGATTTTAACGCATTAGTATTAGTAACGAATAGCAGAAAGTAGGCTGTGAGCATGACGTTTCACACATTAATAGTGTGTGTGTGGCAGAGCTCGGGCAGAGAAATTTCCTATGCCCGTGCATAGGGCCGTGCCGACCACTGATTTAGGGTTAAATATATTTAGTTTTGGTATTTACTGATATTTGGTAATATTTGCTTCTGCTGGTTCCAACAAAAGCTTTTGGAACTTTTTTTTAGATACAAACAATATCAAAGAATTGTATATTATGTTTTATATTATTTATTTTATAAATAATAATAACTATATAAATAATGAAACACTTGAAACTAAGCTTTAATTTAGTAGGGCCAATAGTATCTAGAATAGATTTTCTCCTCAATGGCGCAATCCAAAAAAAAAAAAAAAAAGAAACCCTTGGGTCGTCTGCGACTGGTTTCTTGGTCTTTACATACCTGTGCGCATACGAGCCACAGGATCCGTGACAGGTCAAAGTCTGGTCGTCGCACTTCCGCTACACCAAGGAAACACCGCGCATACGCGCCAGCGCCCATCTCAGAGCTCTATGGCGTGGCTCGATTATTCTTGCATCTCCGGCTTATCCTTGTCATGTGGCGTACACTTGCCCTCTGCATATAGGATTGCAGTATAAGTCACATTTCGTTGACCACGACCCAACTCATTTTGTGGTGAAATTTGCGGTGGTAGTAGTCGATTAGTAAGCTCGTAATTTTTGTGTGATACTCCCAGTCGTGGAATTGATATCGGTTTCAACGGTTTTTTGACTGGTTCGATTCGATCGATACTCCCAGTCGTAGAATTGATATCGGTTTCAACGGTTTTAAAATTTGCAGATCCTTGCCATCCCGTGCGTTTGTAAGCGACTGCTGAAAAGTCGATCATATCGACGCATTTCCGCGAAAGTATCGTAAGTCGCCTTTTTTCGAAATTGAGATTTGAATGAAAAATTGTTAGGCACCTAATGTCTTACTACCCTGTGAAATAATCTAACTGAAAACCCTATAGAAACCTATTAAGTTTCAATTTTATCGTATGTTACAGTGCTTTTTAATCTGCGCGCGAAATTATCGTATGTCCATACAAATTTTTGCATGGAAATACTTCAAATGCACAAAAGTAAAGAAATACAATAACAAATGTTTCTAATCGCTTAAACTTCTTATGATTTTGCTTATTGTTTGTAACAGATGAAATAAAAAAAAAGCTTCTCCTGTAAAATTGGATTTTTCAACATGCGATACCTTCGCGGAAATGCGTCGATATAGGTATTTGCAAAGATATGTAATTGAGTGGCTGCTGCTTTAAGTGTCAAACCTAGATACCGGGGGACTCGCATTCCCTTGATGTGTTGAAGTTGCTGTTTTCAATAGTTCCAATCACGACCTTCTTCTTCTTTGACTGGTTCGTCGCAGCCCGTCACGGATCTATGTACTGCTTGCAAAATTAATTTCGCTTGTATAATGTAAAATCCTAGTAAGCCGAATGGTTAGATTTCAGATTCGCTGCTTTGAAGCCAATCGTCTACGAAAATATTCCGTAGTATCGCGTCTATTGCATCTGGATACTATGGGGTGAATCGCTTGACATTTTTGTTCCTGACATATGTCGCGGCTGCTGGGGAGCAAGATGAGCCGAAAGTCATGACTGTCATAACGTACCTGTCGGGCTCTCGTCTCGTATCTCCGACCGAATCTTCACTTGATGAAACATTCCACTTATGTCCTAGCTGATGCCTATGCGTCGTTCCTGTAATCGTTGTACATCTACTACTAAGAAAGGTAGTTGTTCCGGTCCGTTTGGTAGTCCTGTGTTGAGAGATATGCCTTGCGCTCTGGTTGCTGCTTCCCATACAATTCTCAACTTGCGTTTATTCGGATTAGAGACTACAAATATTGGCAAGTATGTCTCTTATCTGTTATGTCGTTCTTTTAAAGTTTACTTACGTATCCATTTTCCTCCTATCGCTTGAGCTGCTGGTTCATGAAGCTCTGGGTATTGTCATTTTGTTAAATTGTTTTCAATTAAAAAGGCTAAAGCATTTTCAGGACTTATTGTTGTCATCACTTTCTGCTTAAATTAGTTTGTCATACCAGCTATATTTTCTCTATTCAATGCATTTTGCAGTAGAGGAGAAGAGTCGCCCGTTTTCAATTTTTTGGCCAATGTAGAAGTTGCATGCAACAACAGTGGCTGGAATCTTCAGTTTGATCCACCAGAATAGGTGCCAATTTTCGCTTTAATCTGGGTCCTGCCTCAGTGAATGTCAAGCGTTTGCGACCAGGCTTTTCGCGTCGAATATCATCTTTAAAAAACAAAATTTTTAAAGATGATGCGAGCCATTGCGCTTGCTTTTCTTTGAGACGGTCGAGCATTCTGTTGCATTTTGGCAAATTAGTATTAATGAATCCAAAGAAAACCCTGAGTTTATGTTTTAATATGGTTTGCTGGACATCACTTAATTCAGCCTCTTCAATATTTTGCAAAACAAACTGCTGCACAGCAGCTTGTTGGCGGTTGTTGTCGCTCCAAACATCAAGCAACGCTGAATGTAAAAATGTAATTGCAACTGCAACATTTGAGTATTTCCGAAAGTCGGAAACAAATGGAGAAAATGGAAAATTCTTTACAATAAGACCTCTGTTCAGCTCCAAAATCAAGTGTTGCATACTGCCTCGGTGTAGCTTCTCGGGTAAACCGTTACAATTTTGGGATCTGAACTGCCACCCTAAAATGGCTATGCTCACACTTTCTAGTTTAAGGATCCAATCCAATATATCTAGATTGTATGCATCTATCGTATGTATTCATCTGCTGGCTGCTTTCCAGACTTTTTTTTAATCTCTGTTAACATAAAAAACTCTGCTGTACAATAAAACTATAAAGAAGAGCATTATAGTTGCGGAGCAAGTTGCGTCTAAGCCAGTGGTCGGACCGGCCCTATCCCGCGGTCATAGGAAATTTTTCTGCCCGAGCTCTGCCAAACACACACACACAGTATAAATGTGTGAAACGTCATGCTCACAGCCTACTTTCTGCTACTCGTTACTACCCTTCAGTACCATACCTCAAGGATTACTCAAGGAAACGTCTAGGTACTAGTATTGCCACCCGAGGAATTCTCGGGGTATGTTTCAAACAAACCATCAAGGAATTTCCATAGAAGAGTTCCTCGCATCGAGGAATTCGAACAACTCAAGGAATACTGCAGGATTCCTGCAGTTATTCGAAGAGCATTTCAAAGTAAATACCCCAGGGAATCCCTGGGGTATACTCTCAGGAATCTTTGAGGAAATACCCCAAGGAATCCCTGGGGCATACTCTCAGGAATCATTGAGGAAATACCCCAAGGAATCCCTGGGGTATACCGTGAGGAATCTGTAAGGAACTCATACAGTTTGGTCATACCGTGTGGTTGCAACTCAATCTACGATCGAGATCAACGATCGATAATATCTGCTCAATTTACATGTTTTAGATATTTGGTCTACATCATCATTTCACTTTGCTTTACTTCTAATTGATAAACTTATGTTGGTACCTCCTTATCGAAGCAACAAGATTCTTTGAAATCTTGTACTTTTTTTTTAAATCCTGGATCTATTTCCGCGATAGGGGTCCTCCTCTTCACGCACACTACAGTGTATTTAAGTACAATTTCTGCGGTTAATGTAATATTTAAGATAAAATAGCTGGATTCGGCTTTATCTTGTAACGGCCATAGAACTTTACGATCGGAAACTATCGTGTTTTTTTATTTTAGAATGTTGATAGTTTTGATGAATAAGGTTAATGATCCCAAATTTTATAGGCTTGGACAATAACTTTTTTTTCTGCGACATGTGAATATTAAAAAAGAAGCGGGATACACTTACAATCCTAAAGGAAAACTATATCTGACATTTGCATTATATATCCCATAATAGAAAAGACCAGTGGTCCATTTTTGGTATAAATAGCCGCTCACGACTCTAATGTTGAGTCCTACTTTCAAACTCGGGCTTGTTTCCCGAGTGCATGGATAAAAAGTTAAAATACATATATGTAAATTTAAATTTAAAAATTACCTTGAGTTTTTGGCTAAGTTCAGTCTGTTCGTGTTCAAACTCAGTTTCTTCAAAATCGTGGTGAATCCTTTTTTTGTATATTTTTTCATTTAGAAGTTCCAACTTTGAAGTAAATTTTTGTATGCATAATTTAAGGTCCTTTGTCTTACCTTCTGACACTTCAAGCTCCTGATCAATTTTTAGAGACTTTTGCTTAATAATGGATAATTCTGAAACAAAAAATAAAAAGTATATTTTTAAATTAATATACAATAGGAAATAACAAAGGCTTATGTCGTTCTTGCAGCAGTATATAATTTACTGAAACTTACACCAAACTTGGCAAACGTAAAGAAGCATTTTCTCGTTTCGTTCTTGGTCGCTCCGTTTTTCTTTGTAAAGCTTTAAGGCGCGCTCGCATTATTATTCTCCCCACCACTCTGATTTTGGGTCGTTCGCTACTGACTGGTTTACATTAGCTTAGTTATAAATCAGACATAAATAACAGAAATATCGAGCTTATTCTTGGCAATTTTGAAACATTATTTTGCGGTAACGGTAAATGCTCGGTAACTTAACATTGGTGACCTCGACACAATCATGTGCAAAAAAAATATATCAGCATCAATATAAAGGCTGTGTTTTTCCAAACATTTTTTCCGCTATTTGGACTTTCTGTTTACCACGCATTCACTCAGTCATAAAGCACACGCGTTTGGATGGAAGATTTGAAGGGATTTGTATCAGAGTTTCAGGTCCCGCATAGGGAGCTGGCCAAACTGGACAAAACAAAACATTATTTTTTTTCGTTAAAACAGAAAAAACATTGCGTCAATGCATAGCAATAACATTGTATCAAACATTTTATCCGCTATTTAGACTTGCTTTTTACCGTGCATTTACCCCGTTATATAGCAGAGGCACAGATTTATACGAACGACACTTTAATACAGGGGAAAAAATTAATTTTGTAGGACTTTGGTGTCGCTGTGAACTGAACTTTAAAAGGTGAATCTATTCTGGAACTCCGTTTCCCCAAGCAGAGTGTTTTTTTTTGCGTCATAACCTTGCCACCATGCTTTAGGATTTGGGAAGGTTGCGCCAGGCTTTAAAAATTATGTTCTCACCTATTGTACATCCCGCTTATCGATCGGGTTGAAAAACTTCAAAGCCTGCGGCCCTGCTTCTGTTATTCATCGTTGGAAACAGTTCATGATGTGTTTTGGGACTTATTTAACGCGTATGTTAAAACCCTATCTAGCTTAGGCTCACCAAATTGCGGGATGCCCCGAGGTGCTGCAACAAATGCTGGACCCACCCACACAGGATAAATGAAACGAGATGCAGGCGAAGAGGTTCAGCACAGAGGTGCCGAATGTTAGAACACGTCAAATTCTCGATGGCCATGCCACTCCCATAGGCCATTCGGTTGGAAAGTCGGAGGCATGGTAACCAAACTAGATCGTCGTTTATTCGTTTTGCTATGGTGCCTTTTTTTGAATGCCTGTTATGTGACGATGCATCCCACCTAATCCAATCCTAATCCACCTATCTATATTTTTTATGGAGAAAAATTGTTGTTCTGTGAAAATTTTTCCCAGTAAAAACCTTTTTTTTAAGTTAGAGTGCACTTATTTCAAGGAGGAAGATCGTCTTTATTTCTTTCCCTTGTCACTGCCTATTGAAAGCAAGGATTCGTTAATAGCTGTGACAGTATCAATTATGTGACGGTATCAAAAAGGCGTAAAATACAATCAAAAAAAATTAAACACTGATTGTCGTACACCCGATTTGAGGCGGCCAGTGCCTTTGGGTAATTGGTCTCAGTTATTTGGTATGCTTTCACGGTCACCAACGCTTCTTTCTCCAGACATGAAAACAGGTGATTGAATTTTTCCTCGTCGCTAAGATTTGGATCGCTATCTATGAGACTGGTGAATAAACCAATAAAGTTCTTATACTCTGAGTAGCATCCGGAAAACTTGGGTAAATTCATTCGAGGTAAATTTTTATTTTGGGAGCTTGTTGTATTAAGGGTCGAGTTAAGTAACGGTGGTCTTTGATTTTGTACATTAGCTGACATATAAAGAGATTTTGTGGCTACACACTTGTCCTCAAGCTCAGCTCGCGAGGACAATACCGGATTAATGGACTCAATTTCCTCTTGAAGGTTAAATGCACGATTTATGTAATTGTTTAAAATGTCTAATTTGCACTCTAATTCGCTGCCTCGAATGCATACGAATTGTTGTTGCATAAACTCTCCCATGCGGTCTATGTCACCCTTAACACTTTCAAGACGCGAGAGTAATAAATTGGCACGATCGTTGCCATCATTGACATCATGTACACTTGAACTTTGCTAACGACTTAAACGTCGCTTCGGAGCCATGATGGAATTTTACGCTAAAATGTCAATAAAAGTGAATCTTTGCCACCCACTGACTTAATTGAAATTAAATTCTCAAGTAGAAATCACAGCTATCTAGTGTTGCGATAGGTTATTGATTGAACTTATTTTAACTTTGAACTTTTTTTATAACTGTACCCGAATTGCATGTAAGCTGAAGTGCAAGCGTGAGCTGTTACTCTGCAGCAGAGAGACAAATTGAACATCTCGAATTTACAAAACTCGGGCTAAGCGCAATTAAGCTGCTACAACGATTTTCAAAGCTCCCTCTGATCGATAAACTGTATTTTTTCTGTATGTATGTGTGTGGTGTGTGCGATGGTATGTGCATGTGAAGAGAGAAAGAACGGCACCAAGCAACTAAAGAACCAACCTGTAATCTTGACACGTGTTTGCCCCAAAACTTACGCCTTGGCTGATATTTTGCAGGCTTATTTACTGAAATGCTATCAATGTATTTGTCAATGCTATCAATGTAGGCTATGTATTTACTGAAATGCTATCAATATGTTACTTAGCGATTAGCGAAATCCAGCGGCGTGTCCAGTACAAGCCCAAACTGAGATTCCACGGTATATGTATATATGTAAAGCTGATCTGCTATATAAACGATGAATTCCAGCGGCGTACAAGCCCAAACTGAGATTGCGAATGTACGTATAGCTGATCTGCTATGTATATATGATGATACGTCCTTCTGAGTCCACCCGGGGGCGCCAAAAAATGTCTGCTCCAAATGGAAAACTGCGAAAATGCCTGTTTCAGGCCAGCAACTATGGTCCCAGTAGAAACTCATCAACCAAATTCAATGGAAGTTCATTTATTATTAGTTTCTATCTGCTCCTTCTCTTCTTTCATTCGAAACTGCGACGCAGCGAGTAACAAAACGAGTACTTAACAGAGCGATAATATCTTTAGGCGGTACAATTCAAATATTTCTCATTAGCATGGGCGTAAGGAATCTTGCAGCTCGGGCTCGTTGGGGGTTATTTTATTTGCTCGTAGCTTGCTATGCCCCGTCTCATAGCTAAGTAGCCCAAGTTGAGAGTTCTACGTATTTCCCTCACATATTATTTTTATAAACACGTTACGACTAAACTTCCTGGAATAGGGCCTTGCCGACCACTGATTTAAATACTTCATATATAGGAATTCAAGTCTAATGCCAACGTAAATCCTTTTAACGTTTAGTTCGAAAGTGTTATTAAAGTGTTATTTATTAATGGACTAAGATTCCATAAGAGAATCTCTCTTTCTCCGATACCAAGAAAAGTTTTTTAAAGGTGGTACGCTACGGACCTTGTTTAATTTGGCCAACGGACAATAATTCGAAAAATGACTGAGATCCAATTCACGTGTCTATCCCCTGAGGCAAAAAAAAAAGGATCTGCTACTGGTAAGCTGTTTGGTAGTTCTCAATCTTGCACTTTTATTTGGAAAGGAATTTGAAGGACGAAACATATGGGACCTTTTCGGAAAGGCAAACCCGTATGGAACATTCATTTAATGGATGGGGAATGGTGCTCAGTGGAAATAGGCTTTTGAGGTAATTGATGAAAAGTATATTTTGCCCGAATTTCAGACCTAAATGAAATACACAAAATTTCACGAAAATCGGTGGAACCATTTTAGAGGAGTATAATTACGGCTGAGCCTTTTCATATAGAGGGATGAAAAATAGATATTGTCCGATTCACAGACCTAACGGAAATTACGAAAATCAATCGAGTTATAGTTGAGTATCTCGGTTAAAGGTACGGCTTGGAGGTCAGGCTTCTAGATTCAGATCAAGAAGGTGTATAGATGTAATTTGTTTCAATACTTTCATTCCTCTCGAAGAGATTTTTTAACCTTCTCCTTTCTACATTTTTTGCACAGTTTTTTTAAACAAAGTATTCGCCCACCACGATTCCGGCTTAGCGTTACAATTATAATATCCGAGCATCCAACCTTATTTTTTACCCATCTTTTTCTAAAAGTAGTTTAATATCGCATCTTTATTATTAAGGAGTTCTATTCTTAACGTGTCTCCTTTACTCTCGGATCGGTCCCCGCGAGACGCAAGTCATGTGGCTATCGTCCCTCGGTCAGCAGGACGGGAGGTGGGCTGTACATATGCAGTGGGAACCACGAGAAAAAAAATTAACTCAGCTGGGTACATAATTTAACAGCCTTCAGATTTTCAATTAGACCCGTAAGCGCTATTAGGATGCTGCAGCCACGGACATCATTAAAAGGCTTCATCCCCCTCATCATAATCTAGAGCTTTTCACCTTTCCTGAGTGGCAACTAAGATTCGCTATCTTTTGTGAGGTTGATTTTCACCAACTGTATAGCATCGATACATCTGATCGATTGATTTGATTGGTCGATATAACATCCTAAGCAGTTGTTCTGAAATTCTAAGCAATTTGAAAGAATCACACTGTATCAAAACCGGAACTAAAATAAAAATATATTATTTCAAACTATTTTGAAGAAGATAATTGGCGCAGTCGGTAGGATGTGCAAAAGTGACCAGTGATCAATCGAGATCATAGAACATCGTTGAAGTATTTTATGCTAATGCAACTGCAGCTATATTACTAATCGCGAGTGTTAATCGTTAATCACATCCGCAAAAGAGTAACGTGTTAATTTCAATTTGTAGCCCACTTTTCGAAGTGTAACTGCTACCGAAAATATACAAAACACAAAAACTTAAAATAAATTAGTAGCCCGCTTTCTTAGTGTGACCGCTACCGAAATTAATAAGAAATAAAAACATTACAATGGCTGAACCAGTGGCACAAATCCAGTTACTCTCCGAGCTACACCTTA